GGTAGCCTTTGTTTTGACATCCCTCAAAAATGTCCTTCATAGGTTTCTGACGACTGGAGTACCGTCAAAATCATTTCTATTCTCCAAATTCCCTCGCTTGTGTTTTATAATCCGCCTCCTAATTGCGCACACGTCCCCACTACTGAAGCTTGCTGAACAACCTGCCTTATTGCGCGTTTAGGTTTTTCGACTGCTTACAATTTTCCTGGCATATAATCCTAGAAACTGATGCTCTTCTAGTCCATTTAACTCTAAGAGGGTTGCGTGGCGTGTGTGTGTGCATTTCTAGATTTCTCCTCTGCCTTCACTACTATCCCGCGTCATGTACTTCTTAACGTACACATAAACGCTGTATTACCATCTCGCGAGCGGAATGTTCGGAAAATTGGTTGCCGAAGACGTCTTGATGACACGTTGTTCCCTGCTATGTAAATTCACGACCAATGGAAGTTACTGCTAATACAATTAGGATTTTTGCTCGAGTCGTGCGTTAGATATCATTGTCAGCTTTTAAGGATTGGTGTCGTTTAAAAGTAAGTGAGAAAATATAGCGGTAGATATAACTTAAAAGGAGTCAAATTAAAAATATATAATATTTACGATGTCACATAAACGAATCGATTGTTGGATGTAAACGGAATAATGCTTTCAGATACCGGAATTATAATGTACTCTGTCTAATTAACCTAAATGGAACGTGAGATGTGAACTGCATTATAAGCCTTTGCGGATTTCAATATTTGGTAGGCGCATAAATGACTGATAGATAAGTGAGTCGTGCGATAGGTTTCAGATTTTAGTTTGTTATTCAGTGTACAATTGTTCTTTTATGTTTAGGTTAGTTTACGTTTTATTTTATTTTGTTTTGCTTAGTTAAGTTTACTTGAGTTCAATGCATAGCAGTTGCTTAAATACATTTATCTAACGTTGGCGGTAGCTAAATAAAATTAAAATCTTAACCTAAAAGTAAATTAATAACCTAAATGGAAAACTGAACATCAAACTGAACTAAAATAATAACATTAAAAGGAACCGCTGGAATAGATGTAAGGGGTAGGTATGGCAAGCGCCCAACTTACGTGTTACAAAAAAATTGAACTGGCACACATATGACAGTATGGATATGAGATATTTTTATGCCTACCTTTTCTACTATATGATAATTATAGCCCCACCTACCGCATACAGTGCCTAAAGATATTTGTACCTTTTGCCATAGAAAAAGGCAACATTGATGCATTACTTTGCAGATCAGTGGCTTATTGTGGGCTGCAGAAAACTATGCATCCACCGGCTTCTTCCAACGATCATCCGTTTAGAAACTTTGCAGCTAACTTCGCACTCTGCTCCTAGACATAACAAATTCAATTTAGAAAACGTAATTGCATTTCAATTGTAAATTCGCAAAAACATTTCTCAAGATCATTTTGTTTTCAGATTTGTAGGCAGTGTGACTCAC